AAATACGGTAGATATCCTACATACAAACTAAAATCATACTGTTTCCAAGTTCAGGTAATCATAAGATTGCTTTTTTCACACTTTATTTATACATTTTAAAATATTCGACCCGCATCAAATAACTAAATAACACTACTTTAAAATTATTTTTTTTTACTTCAGCTTGGGTGCAATATTTTATTCAGATAACCCCCTCTGGGCCAGCATTATATACATGTGTACCATCTATTCACATAGAATGCACCTCATCACCTTATGTATGAAGCCTTATGTCATTGTCCTGTCACATTCTCCTCTGAGTTTGTCTATATTTCCGTGCATGACAAAGCAAAGTGAATGATGTTGCTACCATGAATACTTGTATTATCTAACATTCAACATTTGCAAAACAAAAAGAAGAATTTCTGCTTTTTGAAAAAACAGCTTTTTTAAAACAGAAGTATTAAACAAGTATGAAACAGCTTTTTATACAGTACATGCATCTAAAACAGCAAATAACAGATTTAATGAGAAATGTATTACATGTACTAATGCCAACTGTATACATGTACATGTATGTACACAACACAGAATACTAGTAATAATATTCATTACAGTTCCCAATACACTAATATGCTAACAATGACATAGTTATCCCAGGGATTAATTAATAGAAATTGCAGAAATAAACATGGGTACATTTCAACAATAATCTGCATTGGAGACTGGTGCTATGATGTATGATACAAAAAAACAATGCAATGGTTACTATAGTAACAGATTTTCATCAATCTTGAAATTTTATTTGACAACGCACAATGAAAATGTTAAACATTGTGCTGGAAATAAATTTTAATAGTGATATAATTGTAAATTTGTTTTAGGGACTTTCCTCTGATATATTGTTTTCATTATATATCCATATCAATATGTTTCATTGTATACAATTAAATCTCAATTTTGACTAATCAGCAAAAATTAGGTGCAACTGAAGTAAATCATCATAGTTTAACTATTATTATTTTGAACAAAAATTGTCTTTTTATCATTTTTTTTCACAATATATTGCCATCATACATGTATACAAACATTTAACAGAAGAAAATAGAGATACAAAATTACTCCAAATGGCAACCAAGCATGCAATATAAGAATATTTGAATTGCCATCATGGAGGTATTTTTAGCCTAGGTGAACAAATGATGGCTCTCTGATAAACCACACCCACAATACTTTAGAATCACTTTATACTAAATAAAATAATTGCTATCATCGAAACAAAACGGTAATAATTTAGTAATAAGGTATTTATTTTACTGTTATTATTAATTAATCAAGACTAATGTAATTAACCTTTTGACACCAAAATGAACTTTTGTCACTGTTTCCAAACCTGAATATCTTTTATTTCATATTTTTAAAATAAAATCTGATCAAAACATGCAACCAATAGGAGGTTATGTCCACTTTGTACAAAAATACATAAAAATGTGAAAAATCTTGCAGCATTTTTTGGTAGAAAATAATTGATCAATGCATTTAAGAAGAAAGGCAAATTAATAGTTGGAATTATATTATATTTTTTTTTACTTGATATTTGAATCAGATTTCAGAACAAACATAGTAAAACTTGTAGAGTTCTAAAGATACTGAATATTACTGTTAATGTACAGGTACATTGTAATACATAATTAGCTTTGTTACAGACAGTGGCCTGTAGCAATGATATCACTTTCACTATTGCCAGATGTTAGTCAGTTTTACCCAATAATGCACACAGTCCAGCAATAGATGCTAAACAATACTTATTTTTTCAAATAATTTTGTGCCAGGCGACAGTATTGGACAGATATTCGATGTCATTCCTGACTTCTTTTTTAATGTGCATTTTGCAAGTGTGATTGCTATCAAGTAGTGTCATTTTTGCCACAGACCATATTTCAGTTTGGGTCTGCGTGACCTTCTCCCTGGTGGCATTAAGGCAATTTAATGTGCTATCTAGGGTCAACCAGACCTGGTCGAACACAAGCACCTGCAGACCTTAATTAATCTTGGTTCTCCCAAAGTCACATTCATTAGTAAATGAAACTCTGCCAGAGGAAATAGCCGTTGCGTAGGTGGCACACTCGCCCATGGTAGGGAATGACGCTTTTAAGTGTTCAACCCCAGGCAAGATATAAACTCAGGTCTACCGATCATGAGTTACAGTACATGCTACTATGTTATCGGTGAACGAAACAAGGGACACACTGTAATATTAAGAAACAAATTTCTTAGAATGAACTATATATCACTTTACCAGTTTCTTTCATTTACTGTAAAAGGAACAATTATTGGATCTGGTTGTTTTTTCATCTCCAAAAGAAGCACATACAAAAATGTATAAAAAAAAAATTTCATTAAAATATTACTTATTTTTCCCATAAAAACGTACACCTCTGTATTGTACACGAATGAATATATACAACTAATACAGTATTTGCATTGATGGTCTAAACTGTTCCTTGTTTTATACAATGTAGCAGTCATATAGTACAGTTTAGATCAAATCAACATGTATCAAATATACATGGTACAGACAACTTGTGAGGTGTCACAGAAATTATTGTAGAAATGTACTTACATTTTTTTATTGTTTATTGTAAATGTACAAAGAACATGAAACCTCATTCTCTTGTAGATTAAATTAGAACATTTTTTTGTGACAATATTATCAGTATTAGAAGTACATCTCCAATAGAAGCGCATACAGATAAAAAATTTCATTATTTTACTGAATCATTGAAATATGACTTATTTTTCCATAGAAACACACATATACCCCCCTCCCCTCGTAATTTACATAAGCATATGTGCTTCTAATTGAGCAAATGTAGAACATATGTTTGAACATGTAAGCCCCCACCCACCCCATGTTGCTACATTTTGTATGAGTAGTATGGGACTCGCCTTGAAAACACTCATTCACAAAAACCACCATCTTTGTGAATTACAGATTTCAAAATACGCATTGCCACATGATGACAGCCTTTCAACATTTAATTGGTTTTATAAATAGATATCTTCCCATTGTGCTACTTCAGGCTTGTATTGTGAGTATGAGCAGATATAGAACCACATTCTGGTTTCATTTTACTCAATGAAAGAGAACACACAGTGTGAAGGATACCACTCATGTCCCATAAAACCCATCCTGTATAGCACCACATGTGAAGAAGCCAATGGAGAATCAGCATCAAACCAGCTGATAAACAACAATGATTACCGCTATGGTCATGACCCGTTTTATCAATGGTGATGCATGAGACAAGTGTCATCATGTAACCTTTTCACCACCAGTTCCCTCTTTTCATCACAAACTCACAAAATAGTCCTGTTTATAGCCTGCACTTTCCTTCAGAAGATTAGAACAAAAATAGCCAATTTTTTGAGTAAAAAATGAAAATTGACTCAAATTTTGTCTGTGGGGTTGAAAATTAGGATTCATTTCCAGAAATATTGAAGAAAATAAGAAAAAAATGCTGAAAAATTTGTGCAAGAATGTCTGGTGGTGAAAAGGTATAGTGCTGTAAAATGGAATGCAATGACATTATGTATATTATTCAGATTCAGAAAGCAAATAAAATTATACCGGGTACTACTTACTGTGGAATACTTTATTTTCGCTGGAATTAATTTTCGCTGAAAAGGCTTTTCGGGCATTTTGTATGGAATTTATTTTCACTGATTTTTGATGAGTTTAATGTAAAATATAGGAAAAAAAGTATATTCGCTGAATTTTATTTTCACGGAATCATCCCTTCAGCGAAAATAGCGAAAATAAATTCCAAGCGAAAATAAAGTATTCTACAGTAATTCATGGCATGTTATATTCGCAATTGCAGGCGAAAGTGAAAGAATTTGTTCAGCAAAGGTAGCATTTACAATACGACTACCGTAAATATGATTATGAGCCAAATTTGGGAGGAAGGGAGGGTGCTACTAAGATAATGACAGCGTTTCCAAGATTATCATCCATCGAACACGCCTCGACAATTATGGCAATTTATGCAGACTAGCTTTCAATTTCTCAGGAGAGATGATTCAGTTGATGCTGTCATTTTTGGGGAATGGAAGTTAATCCCAGATGTGATTCAGTGTATTCATGCTGTATTTTCTTCACTCATGAAAATCTGGCCAGGATACACTGCATCACAAGTGAAAGTAACTTCCATACCACATAAATATCAGGGCGAGGTTTTGGTGTTTTGTTATAGCATGTATATAATTGTGAGAGTTCGCAAAACATGATTAAATCAAAACAGAATGATTGTTGTTTACTTGTCCTTAACCTTCTAAACAAAAAGATGAATGTATCAATAGCAATAATACATAGCATAGAATAATGTACCAAAATGTTGGATTGGTTTGGTGTTGATTCTGTCAATTTTAAAATGAAATACAGGTTAATTTTATGCGGTACAATGTAAGCCAACCACTTTAATTTTCACTCAAAATAATGTTTATTTTTTTCAGAATTATTCAACACTGAAGGTTATCCATTACTGCTAAGTAGATTGTTATATCGAGGAAATTTCGCATCAAGAGTTTGTAAAATATGAGAAAACAGATTAATTGTTGTTTACTTAGCTTTAACCTTGTTGTCAACAATGTTAATGCACCAATAAAAACAGTAGTTTTGAGGAAATATAGGGAATTGTGCACCAAAGTATTGTGTGGGTCAGGGTTTATTTTAAATTTAACACACTTTTTATTCTCATGTAGTACATGTACTTGTAAAAAAAAAAAAAATAATGTTTATTTTTTAGTATTATTCAAGACTGAAGGTTATATAATATTGAATATCACACTGAATAGTTAACAGTGACACTACATGAATAAACATATGTATAACTCCCCTGTGATAAATTATAATTATAAAATCATTATTTTCCAAAAATAAATTTGTATCTCGTCCTCCTGAACAGTAAATTTGAAATTATACTGGTATATACAAACAATGCAGAGGGATTGATCATGAATCAATTTTTTTTATCATGTTCATGAGAAAATAAAATTTAAATATAATATTTCATTTGTGTGCTTGTCAAAATGTTTTGTTAGTTTAATGTAAATTATGTTATTTCTATATTATCGCTCTATGACAATGGGACAGTGGTTAGTTAGAATACATTTAATTAAATGAGAAATAATGTCCACCCACTTTGGTTGTTTTATGGTGAAACTAAAAACATATGAGCTGGCTGTTCCATGAATGTGATATACACATGTACAGATTGTAAGATTATGACAGCAAGCTCCGATAGAGTTAACATATAGTTATGAATATTTATTAATATACCTACCCCTTCCATATCTTTGACAAAATAACTTCCACTGGTCCCTTGTCGTATTCTCTCAGGCATAATGCCATTTAAAATTGTTTCCTCTGCCTGTCGAACAATTTGTGTGAATTCTGGATCGTCAGCAAATACGTTATAGTCATTGTCAATTTCCATTTTGCTACGTCCGTGGTGTAAAAGGGGCTGGTTTTCCCTGTTACCACGGGATGGCGATGTGAGTCTCGTCGTTTCTGGACAGGGAGCAAAGCCTACATCAACGTGTGCTTGTGTACAGTGCTGATCCAATACTGACGTCAACGTATTATCAGCGTCAGCAGCAATGGCAGCCTGAGGTCGCTGTTCGGGATCTGCATCAACGTTGTCAACAGGTTCATACGTATACTCGTCCATTATCACGTTTTCTGAACAGTTTTCGGACATGGAATAAGAATGTTACTAAAAGTTTACGATACGTGAAACGAAATTATAACGATTCTCATCAGATGATGGAATGTCAGTGATATATCAGTTTCGATATACTTCCGCGTTTTATATTCTACAATGGCGATTAGACGACGACCAAATTCCACGAGATGACAGTATCACACGAGACACTGCTATCAACAGTTCACACGCCGATAATTGATTTACACGGATACGACTCACAACCAGTACAAAATCGGAGATGAACACGTACTACAAACTAAAACCGCAGCGTGGGCTGGGCCTTGACTCAACTTCAGACGAGAGTCAAGACCAAATGATTGAAGATACATGCAGTCGATGAGTACATGTATTCCTTGTATGTCGTTTGAATGTCTGTCCCTCTGTGTCCCGTATTTTCACTTTCGTATACAATCTACTCACCTACAACTATCTACAGTTCTTACGAAAATAAGGGAATTAATACGAAACAACTACCACGTACGTACATGACTTTCGGACCGGTGACATAATCATAATCTCGAAAAACGTGAATTAATCTCAACTGTAATATAAGCCGCAGATTCGTATAAAATAAATGAAATACTTAATAATATTTATTAACAAAAATGTTCAGCTCCAAACATTCAAATAATTACTACATGTTTGTAATATATTAAATGATATATACGTGTGTTTTAATTATTATTTAATCGCATTCTTTTATAAACCGTGGACTCGAAACTATGGTTTTAAAATTATGTGATATAATCAGTGTCATTGCGGCTTGTGTAGAATCCAAAATGGCGGACGATGAAAAGAAGGATGAGAGCGTGGCTTGCGAAAATACCCCAAACAGTAGCGAAGATCACGATAGTGGCAATTCAGTGACATCGACAACTGATATCGCATCACCCAGAGATGCACCTAAGATCAGGTATTTGTTGTTTTGTCTTTGTGTGTACGTGTGTTTGGCTTCTTAATTTGTGCATGGTTCCAAGGCTCAGTGCCAGGCGGTCCCTTGTGTTCACATAATAATATTGTCGTAAATTGATGAAGTCATGGAGGATTATAAGTTCTTTTTAATTATTATTTTTTTTCTAAAATACTTAACCACTACTAATAAACACAGTTACATTGTTTTATGATTTTTTTCTACAATATTAAATTTTAATGTCGATTTGACTATTACGATTGTGTTTATACGTCAATAATCATTGTTACGCGTGACTTAGATTGAAAAAAAAAAATCAGAAGCAGGCTGTGTCGAGTTTCTAGTTTCGATTTAAAATAAATTATACATTTAGTAGTATTGTCATTTATTTGTATTTTTCACTAAGTCAGATAACAAAAAAATCTTATTCACAGTAAAACCTGTGTATAGTGATCACCCAAGGGACCAGGCTAAAGTGACCACTATATAAAGATGGCCTTTCTGTAGAGGTTGGGTATATTTTACTTTTTTCCAAAGTGGGAGGGGCATTCTGGGATAGGGACACTATAGGGTAAAGAGACAAAGAGTTGTACAGTTTAACCTGTTTTGTTGACATAAATGTGTCAGTCTTAGGATAATATATTTACATACACATGTCAATAATGAATAAAGGAATTAATAAAGAATTATAACCAAATAAATAATAGGATCAAAGTGTCAGAAATATTTGTAAAAAAATACAAATGTATGTGTAGTTGAATGGCTCACAATACACGTACAGGTAATAAAGTACATTTATTTCCATTGTCCAATTGGCAGGTTCAAAAAAATCCAAAACTGAAGTTTGTTTTGCAGATGATATTTTCTCCACATACTTTTTGCCAAAATATCTTCAATGTCTGCTATAGCAAGTAGCATGTTATCCAATCGTTGTCTCAACATGAAATCTTTCAAGTCAGAGACTGACTGGACTGCCTGGCTGTAATCATTGATGGATGGTTTCTCTGGGTTTGGTGGTGGTGGTGGGGTGTTCTCATCATCACTATCTTCTGCACCTGTCTCATCTTCCATCTGGCTCAAAATATCAACTGCTGATTGTTCCCAGTTAACATTGTTTGTATTGCATGTTGCTAGGTCTCTTTCAATATTTATAATCTCATATAAGCTGCATTCAAACAACTCATGGGACAATTCATCCAACTGTGCTATCTTTGTGTTACCATCATTACTGGGTTCATCTGCAGAGAGAAAATTCAAATTAAAGATTAAAAAAATGCAATAGTGAAATTTAGGGGGAATTAATGAAACAAACCTGCTAAGTGGAGAAAAATATTCATCGCACCTATCATGTGGATATGAAACTGTGTTCCATTCTACCATGGAGGTTAAACCTGTTAATGATTCTGGAAAAAAATTTGATCAGTTTCCTACATGTATGTCCAAGAAAGGTGAGGCAAACAAGTAACCACAGGCACTTCTCTATAGTTGAGACAACAACTTCCTTCCACGACTGGCTGATCCACATGATTGTATCCAGAATGTTAATAATTTCTTTCAAAAATTCACTGCCACACTTTGCCTTGCCTTTGTCCATTACCGGTATTCGCACGATGTGACAGAGCTGACGTTTTCTGTATTTCAGCTTTGTGGTTTGAATAATCCCCTGGTCCATAGTTTGTGATTTAGATGCAGTGTTGGCTGGTAAAAATTAAAGTTTACTGTTCTTGAGGTTGTTCGTAGTGTGTGATGGCACATTGTCGGCAAAGAGCATTAATTGTCTTCCTTGGCATCTCATCTTGCGGTCAAATTTGCGAAGCTAGTCTTCCAATATTTAAGTTCATCCATGCCTTTTTATTAGCGTAATAATCAACAGGTAAATTCTTTGGATTAACCCTTTTCCGGTCAGGGGAGTTTCACGCTATCAGGTTAAGTCGTTGAAAAACGGTCATGATTCAATGCACTCCAGTAGCCAGCATCTGAGCATGCTATCCTGCCAGACATTTTTGCAAAAATAGGCCATAGTTAACAGACTGTATCGACCACAGTTTTCACATTTTTTGCAATCTGTTTGCATACACACTTCATTACCACCATGGACAACAATTTCTCGTATAAAAAAAATCACCGTTTTATTTCAATACACATTTTTTACTGTCGTTAAGTAACGATGTTTTGCCCTTTGTACAGTCTCAATAAACACGTGTTAAACATTGAAATAAATATTGCTTAATTGAAAACACATTACAAGCAAGTACAAGGTCACTACATGAATGCAAGTTCGAAGTAAGAAGAAAAAAAACGCGTGAGTATGGGGATATTTGGGACATGTACGGGGGAAAACGTGTTTGACGTACTCGACCCGTTAGCGTACATTTCAAATTGCAACGTATATTCAACGACTTGAACTACATGTGTAACATATTACAACGTACTTTCCGTGACTTAACTGATGTTATATTCAAGCTCTAACGTATATTAACCGACTTGACCGTATGAGTAAGTCCACACTTACAACGTATATTTAACGACTCAAACTGAGACTGAAACGAACGAGAACGTAACTGCAACGACTTGATCGGG